TTCTTTGGAATCAGTGTTCAAGTTCATAAAACTGCTTAGCAGTTTTGGTTGGTGCTGTGTATTTACACTTGATCAAAACGGAATTCTGTTTGAAGTTGACGTTTTTCTCATTATTTTGTACTTTAAAAATCAGTTGAAACTTAGTGAATGTTTGAGGAAGCTTCTTCCAGCGTTTCTCAATATATGTGACTGACTTTCCCATCACCACGCCCTCCAAATGCAGATAATTTGAAACAGCACAATGTTGAATCCTGGTATGTTAATAATACAGCACACTGAGCAGATCTGTCAGGTTTTGAAAAACAGTTTGCAATGTTAAAATTGAATTATGTTGCAAGGCAGAGCATTGCTGCAGCCTCTTCCCTTCTTTCGAGACACACGACACGTTCATATTTGTTGATTTTTCTCTAGTACATAGTAGTATGTACATACCTTACATTGTTTTCTAATAGCATCTGAATCTGCCTTCTCTGCAATGGAAACCTTTCTGTATCTTACTGTAATATTGAGAGGCTCCAGTGAAACCAGGTTTTAGCTTTCTGAGAAACCAAGTTTCGCTTCCCACAGTTAAGCTCTCTCCTGCTGGCCCAATTCCACTGAACCCCACCTGGCTGACAAATGGAGAAATGCTGTAGCTCTTCTTCCAAAAGCTGAATGAAGATATTTAGTCCTTAGGCAGATGAGATCAGAAAGACCATGGACTCACTGCCTTCAGATTCACCTGTTTGACTTGACTCTCATTTTGGGAACTCACTGTGCAAATCACCACTTCATCAAAACTATACTTGTACCTGCTGACAGTGAGTCTTCAGAGGAATACATGTGTTAACTTTGAGCACCATGTGGGTTTTTTTAACTTTCATTATTTAATTTTTCTCTTTAAATAAATTAGTTTTAAATGGAAAAGACCTTTATGGCAATATTATATTTTTTTAATTGTGAATACAGAATGATTATATAGCAAACTAAGCTGCCAGCTTGCATGATAACATGTCAGATCTTTATTTTCATGTAGGTAATACACAGTCTCATGCTTAAAGGACTTTCCGTCTCATTGGAGTAGCTGATAGCCCAGAAAAGATGATTCTTTTTAAAGTTAGACATATAATACCTGAAACATGGGTTTCTGCCAGTTATGAACCTGGCACAACATTTAATTTTTTGTAGCTTCTGGCTTAAGAAAACAACAAACACTTTTTGCTTTAGAACTATAATAATGTAATTTAGATAATTGGACTAGGTGGAATTTAAAACTATGGTGATAGATGTCCTAAAGGCTGTGTGCCAGGGCATTTTTCTGTAGCGGTTTCACAGTGCTGAGTTTATGGAAGTTCACAGCACAGCTTGAAGAGACAGAGGAAAGACGCATGTGTTTTCTTCTCCCTGTTAGCCTGCAGAAGTTGATGAGGATGATTGGGATATATCATCAATCGAAGACGACATTTTATTAATGAAAGACGAGAGAGGCCAGAAGGCGTTGAGAGCTCAGAAAAATGAGTCAAATGCTGCATCTGTGAGACAAGCGTGGGGTCTCCCAAAGAAAAGTGTGCCCAAGG